CGGTAGCTAGCTTATGCAGCGTTGCTTCACGGTCCCCCAAGAGTGGGACTCACTGAGGGCTAGGTCCTGGATGGCTGTCCAGAGTCCAGGGGGTCGCCCGTGCCTAAAATCCCACCGTCGCTGCCGTGGGGCTCCTCGGAAGAATGCCGCCCTCACAGCTCAGGAGAGAGGGGTTCGCGCGTACCCCGGGGAGGAGGTGGGGCCCCGGAGTCTCCGGTGGCCGCAGTGCCCTCCTGTCCTCTGCGTGGCCCCAAAGGACAGCCCCGTTGTGGCAGACGAGGCATGCGGTCTGGCCAGCAGCAAGCGTCTCAGCAAAAGCAGCATCGATGTGTCCAGCGTGCCCGAGGATGAGGAGCCCCAGAGGCCATTGCCGCGGAAACAGAGCGACTCGTCCACCTACGACTGTGAGGCCATCACCCAGCATCACGCCTTCCTGTCGAGGTAAGCGCTCCTTCTAGCACGGTGTCCGCGGCAGAGGGGGCCCCCGACTCAGAGTCCCCTGGGAGGCCTGAGACCGGTCATGGCTGCCGGGCCCTTCCAGGGGCCCCGTGGGTGAGCACGAAGTGCTGGGACCCCGGCCACTCTGCGTGGGCCTTGCACCCTGTCCCTGCTCCACCCCGACTGGCAGAGGCCCAGGACAGCCCGTCCCCCTCCCTGGGCCGCGCAGCGCCTTCTTTCTGCCGAAGGGCCCATGCTGCCGGCCTGCTTCGCCGATGGCTTTGAGAACGTGGTCCAAGAGCGGATGTGGGTGTGTTTTGGGAGCCCCTCCGGGTGTGTGTTCTTATTATTTCCCAGATGGGGCAGCAGAGGCCCCTGTAGGCCGGGAAGTTTCCTGGGGTGGCAAGGACAGCTGCCAAAGCCCTGGGGCCAGCGTCCCGGCTCCCAGGCCGGTGCCTCCTGCCCGGAGTTCAGTGAGTCACCTGCAGGTTCATTCTGGACACGGGCCGGTGTTAGCCCGCCCAGGAGGGGCTGCCCCTGCCCTCTGTCCCTTCTCCTTTCTTACGCCACTGACAGGTACGCGAGGTCGTCACAAGCTCTGCAAAACAGACCTGCTCTGAGCATTTCCGAGCATTTCCTTTCTGTATATGCCGTTTACGTGCTTCCCGTATAGTTTTACTCTACTCGTATTGTGATCTTTTCTGATTTTTTTCCCTATGTAATAAGTAGTTGGTGAGTATTCTCTACAGGGAATGTTTTATTGAGTGAATGGCCACCTCACTTCATCCCAGGACTTGGCTGCGTGGCTTTTCCCGTGCTTTGAAATTACAGGTGGCGCTCTGGTGAACATCTTTGCGCGTAAACGGGTCTGTGTGTGTCGAGAGCTGTTCCACTCAGGTGCCCTCCTGGAGGGGCATCCGCTAGATCAGAGGCTCTGCGTAGTCAGATCTCGGACTATTATAGCTGCTCTGACAGCCACTTTTCAAGGCGGGTTGCAAGCTGACGTTGCAACATTCCTGGTTCATCCTTGAGAAATCCTTTAAGAAGGCCCCAGATTTGGAGAATGAGAAGAGGTTGGAGGCCCTCGGTAGCTGGCTCAGCAGGGCCAGCTTCCCTCTGTGGTAGGGACAGATTGCTGTCTCTCGGGCAGCGAGGAAGCTGGCCTGCGTGTTTAGGGACATGCGGACCGCCCAACACCAGCACCATCCTCGCAGTGCGAGCCTTCACATCCAGCTCCCAGACCCTCCCGGACCCTCGCTCATTGTTATTTCTAAAATCCCCTTTCACATCCACCCTGAGGATTCTGGCTGAATGTGCGTTCAGTTAATCGCCTCATCGATCCGGGGATCCCCCGGGCGGTCTTAAACTCTGAGCTGTGCATCAAGGCCAACGGGAAGGTCGGGGAGTCCCCGGTTCTGCAGCCCGTCCTGGGCAGCCCCTCTGGGTCCCTGGCTGAACGTCAGCCTGGGCTCTGAGCAGCGGCTCCTGGAACTGGCTGGAACCCGCCCCCCCCTTCCTGTGCGGCTGCGTCTGCGGGCTGCGGTGAAAGGCCCAATCCCGGCGGGCCTGACGTCACCAGCGGGCGGGGGTGTGTGCGGCCGGGCCTCTCTGGAGCCCATGCAGGACCTCGCAGGGCGGCCCCCACTGAGCCGGCACCATGGGGCAGGCCTCCCCCTGTGCGGGGTGCTTGGGTGCTCCTAGGTTCTCAGCCCCGCTGGGAAAATACAGCTTTATTGGATGGTGGCCGAGCGTGTCTGTCCAAGAGTCTCCTCTGGCTGCTTGCCGACTGGACGGGGCGGGGGCCCCATGGCTCCCGAGGGCTGAAACGCTTACCATCTGGCCCTTCAGAGGAAACGTGGGCCGGCCGACCGCTGCCCTCGCCGAACGTCAGGCCTTGGTGGCCAGCGCGGGGCTGGGTGTGGGCTCGGAGGCTGCCGCGGGGACGGAGGGCTGGGCTCTCCCCGCTCGGCCTGCGCGCTTCCCTAACGGCCTTCCCGGCCCTTTCTCCCTGGGGCAGCATCCACTCCAGCGTGCTGAAGGACGAGGCCGAGCCCCCTGCGGCCGGGGGGTCCCAGCCACCCGAGGTCAGCCTGGGTCGCTTGGACTTCGACGTGTCCGACTTCTTCCTCTTCGGCTCGCCCCTGGGCCTGGTCCTGGCCATGCGGAGGACGGTGCTGCCCGGGCTGGACGGTGGGTGGCTTGGGCTGGGGCCTGAGAGGCCTCGTGTGTCTGGAGCAGTGCGTCAGGCCCTCTGGCTCGGGGAGGGGCTGGGGGAGACGG